ATCCATCCATCCATCCATCCATCCATCCATCCATCCATCCATCCATCCATCCATCCAATTAACGTGCCGTTGAAAGATAAATCTTCTCTCAATGTTAATCCCTGTGTGGGATTTTTTTTTAAATGGGCTCCACCTTCGTCTTCAAGGCTTTTGTTACCTACTTTTGTGTTTTTTAATTGTTGACAAAGTTTTACTGAAAGGAAACTTAAACAAAGTGCTCTCCTTTTTCAAAATAAGAGTCCCAACCCCCACGCACAAGCTTTCGGTTGTAACAGTATACTGAGATACAAACAGTATGTATATGTTCACCAAGCGAGTTACTGTGTTTCCAAACAGATTCCTTCAAGAAGTACACATACACACACCCACCAGTTGGAGCTCGATGGTGATTCTCTCCAAGCACACAGCTGTTTAAACACCTGGCTCTGTGCTGACTGTTTCATTGACATGCAAAATTACAGGAAAAAGAAATAATTCCTGAACATCTACCTTATTAGAGTCTAGACACTTCAGCCTTTGGCACCAAAACACTAGTTGTTGTAGACTATCTTTATAGGTCAATGGAAATGGCCATAGGTGACTCCGTCCAGCAACAGCACCTGGCATGGTGGCCTTTCATTCTGACTGTCCGTTGTTTCTTCTGTCTCTCGCTTGCCGGCTGCTAAATGCGCCTCTGTGTCTGTCTTAATTGAATCCATGCTTGTGTCTCGTGAGGTATGGCATGCAGGAGACGGGGCATGTGGCAGGCTGTACTGAATGTAGCAAATAAGGGAAGCATTAGAAAGGCATCCATTCTTGATAATATATGGCCTGTTGACTGTTGTGGGAATAGCCTGAACTGACATACCAGCATGCTGTCTGAAAGAGGTCAGCAAGTTGGAGCAAAGTCTCCTCAGAATAGAGGACATAAAGGATGTGGGTGTGTGTTCAGGCTACAATAGGGGTTACATTATAAAACTGCAGAGAAGGCTGTTAAATAATGGATAAAAAAGTATTTTCTCTGCATTGACTGATGTTTTTATTTATTGCCTTGAGCATAGGCTATTCACCTGAAGACACCGCCCCTTCATTTATTATCAAGGAGAATGGCTGTTTGGTTCTGGAGGTGAGAAATTGCTGCATTTGAAGATAAGCTGCCCAGAAATCCTGGGTGGCTAGGGTCTGGCCTTAAAGCTCTCTGTGTGTTTGTATTTGTCTGCAGGCTGGAAGAGAGATATGCATCTCATGGATAAAATGTTGATGTTTTACTGAAGTGCACCAGCAGTCTGATATGTAAAGGAGGTCGGATGCAGAAAGAGGGAAAGTCATAAGAGTTTGGTGCCTCTGGGGACATGTGTGCGCACATGCTCGCTCATAAATAGAGGGAGAAAAATGTTAGGATTACTGTTTTTATGGCAGGCGGTGTGATTGTGCTGGGTGGGAGGAAACTGGGGTGGAATGACACAGTGGTTAATTTTCTTATTGGTGCTCTGGAGTGAAAAAAAAAACTGATTTCAACAGGAAAAGGCCCAATATTGAAAGCACACAGGCTCCATTCTCCTTTGCCTTCATCAAGGACAAAGAAATAAAACTGCCTGTTTAGGGGTTCAACCTCCATAACAGGCCTTATTGAGTTGTGGCTTCTGGTATCGACAACATTTCTAGCGTATTAATTCTGGTTCTTTCTCATTCAGTGTATGCTAAAAATATCTGCCCAGGTGGACAGAACATGAGCATTCAAGGGACGCTGTGTCCTCTGTCTGTAACAGCCTGCTCTAATTACTGGAGCTCAACAGTCGGTCATGGATCCTGAGCAGAGATTGTGCAGGATGGCTGGAGAGATAGCATGATGTAAAACAGAGAGGAGACGGAGCCACTGTCAGGCAATTATCACAGGGGGAAAAAGGGAGTGAGGTAACATTTGGCCGTGTGAAGAGGAAAAAAAGGTGGGTTGGTGCTTTGTGTCGGGTCCCTGGAGTGTACGTTCCCCCCATTCTTGGCTTGACTTGAAAAGAATCCTTATTTAGCTTACCAGCTGTACTGGTGCCTTATCATTAAGCACTCTGAACTCACCGGAGCTGCAGACATTAACACATGAGCTTATAATCTATGCATTGTGACACAAATGACTTTAGTGTCTACATCAACGTTAGACCCCGAGAGTCAATCAATAGATCTATTTATAAGGTGTGGTGCATGCATATATATGCTTTATGTAAAGAAAGTAAATGAGCCAATTTAAAAGAACAAAGAGAGTTGGTAAAAAGGAAGTAAATGTTCCTACCAAAAGAATCGTTTTCCAGTCAAAGCGTTCCTGAACTCTTTTGCAAGTATTTTTAGTAGGTAGGTTGTTTAAAAAGTACATTTGATGTTACAGCCACAAACCTTATCGTATTTTACTGGGAGCAGAATTAAAGGAAAAGGATAGACGGTTTTCACATCTTATGAATTTTGATGTATTCCTCTTCATTCTGACACATTTAAATATATTCAAGCATAAATCTGGAGTCACTTAATAAGTAGCTGAAGAGTGTCAGAAAGCGTAGGATTTTATTTTAGTCTAGATGCTGCTGTTTTCTATTTGTTTTCTGAAATAGAAAATCTAAAACTTTTACCATACTTTCAATTTTTACTCTCTGTGCTTTCTTGCAGTGCATTTCACTACCAGTCTTTTGGAAATGTTTCGCACAGTTATTCACTTTACTTAATTTATCTTCCTAAAATAGGCTCAATAAGATTGAATGGTGAACTTCTATGAACATCGACCTTTTTGCTAGATTTTAACCATTCATTTTTTTAATTCATGGTGGATTAAATCAAACATTTGTTCCCTCTGA